GCAAGCTCTCAAACTTTCGTACGTGGAAGTCTTGAGGAAGATGAGAGCTGACGAGCGTCTTGTGGATATGGGCAACAGCGCGAGGAGCATCAGGTGCACTCGTACTGGCGAGATGCTCCTGGTGTTAAAGCGTGGCGCTAGGGACCAAGGACCAACCTTCCATAAACTGGCAAACGAGGTCGTTGGAAAAGGAGTGCAGGTAAGATCGCTAGGCTCATCGATCACCATCCAAGTTAAGGACTTGGATAAAGTGACAAAGGCGACCGAACTGGCCAAGGCGCTCAGAGAGCAGTGCCAAATCGAGGTACCGCCAACAGCGGTTACCTTGAGGAAGGGACTGTTCTCCACCCAGGTGGCTACCGTCAAGCTCCCGGCAGTTGATACCAGAAAGGCGGCAGCCACAGGGAGGGTACGAGTGGGCTGGTCGGTTTGCCCGGTGAGCATCCCCCGACCGGTTACGGCTTGCTTTAGGTGCTTCGGTCAGGGCCGTGACTGTAAGAACACCGACAGGAGCAAGCTTTGCAGATGGTGCGGCTCGGAGAGCCATAAGGCGCGAGGTTGTTGGGGAGCGGATATCGCAATCATCTTCGACCCGTACCGCGTCCCAACCGGCAACGGGAATTGGGCCACGGACGTGTCGGGGATGGCGGCGATATGCACGATGGGGAGCTTCCCCATTCAGGAGGTAGTCGTGCCCAACTCGAGCGAGGGGTTCGTGATCGCCAGGGTTAATGAAGTATACTTATGTAGCTGTTATGCTCCGCCGTCTATCGAGCAGTTCTCGCAGATGGTGCACAGACTAACTGCGGTACTTGTCGGCCTAAGACCGGTGGTTATTGCGGGAGACTTTAACGCATGGGCGGTGGAGTGGGCCAGCCACCACACCAACCAGAGAGGATGCATCCTACTGGAGGCAATGGCCAAACTGGACGTTGTACTATCCAACACCGGCTCGGTCAGTACCTACAGAAGGAATGGTGCAGAATCCGTCATCGACGTGACATACTGCAGCCCGAGTTTGGAGGGCAACCTACACTGGAGGGTCGATGAGGGTTACACCCATAGTGACCATCAGGCGATTCGGTACAGTGTGGGACAGGTGAGAGGCGAGTGACAGGAGGAAATCCTTCCTGCGCTCGAGGCTGGCGGACGTCTGAGCACTGAGCCGGGAGCGATAACCCCGGATCTGACGGGGGAAGAACTGGTAGCAGCGCTGACAAGGGCATGCGATACAACCATGCCTAGGAGAGCCTATCCCAGGCATGGCCATAGACCGGTGTACTGGTGGAGCGAGTCGATCGCTATCCTCAGGGCGTCTTGCCTCCAGGCGAGAAGGAGGATGCAACGAGCTGGTACGACTGAATCTCGGGAGGAACGCCGTGTCGCTCTTCGAGCGGCTAAAGCAGCCCTCAATTAAGAGATCGCCAGACGCAAGCGTGCGTGCTTTGACAGCTTATGCCAAAGCGCCAACACGAACCCATGGGGGGATGCCTACAAAGTGGTTATGGCAAAGACCCGCGGCGTGACGGCACCCCCGGAGAGATCACCAGCGGTACTGGCTCCGATCGTTGGGTTCCTGTTCCCGCGTAGGGACGTAGACTCCTGGCCGCGGATCCCAGTGACGAACAGTGAACTTGGCGGTATTGCCAAGTCGCGGGTGGTTGGCAAGGCCCCGGGCCCTGATGGGATCCCGGTTGTGGCTCTGAGGGCGGCCGTTGCGGAAAATCCAGACATATTCCGTTCTGTTTTTCAGACCTGTCTGGACGTAGGCATCTTCCCAGATGCGTGGAAGCGGCAGAGGCTGGTGCTGCTCCTGAAGCCAGGAAAACCCGCTGGGGATCCGTCAGCATACAGGCCCATTTGTTTGCTGGACACCACTGGGAAACTGCTTGAGGGGGTCATCCTCAACAGGTTGTCGGCCTACACCGAAGGCCAAGCAGCCAGTACGGGTTCCGTAAGGGCAGATCCACGGTGGATGCCATCCGTGACGTCATCCAGACGGCAGAGGTGGTCCACCGGAAACGAAGGGGCCTTCGTTACTGCGCGGTGCTAACCTTAGATGTGAAGAACGCGTTCAACAGCGCATGTTAAGGGGCGATAGCCCGCTCGCTACACCAGCTCCAAATTCCCGGAGGGCTGTATAAGATTCTGGAAAGCTACTTCCAGAATCATGTGTTGACGTACAACACAGAAGATGGCGAAAAATGCGTTAGAGTCACTGCAGGAGTGCCACAAGGCTCCATCCTGGGCCCGGTGTTATGGAACGTCATGTACGATGGACTGTTGAGGATAAAATTCCCGGTAGGCGTGAAAATTGTAGGTTTTGCCGACGATGTCACGCTGGTAGTCTACGGGGAATCCCTCGAGGAGGTAGAGCTGACAGTGGCTCACTGCTCAAGCTTGTGGAGGAATAGATGAGATCCAGGAAACTGGAACTTGCCCATCACAAGACGGAAGTGGTCGTAGTCAACAATCGCATGTCAGTACAGCATGCGACGTTGACAGTCGGCGGAAGCACAATTAGGTCTGTGCGCTCTCTGAAACTCTTGGGGGTTATGCTCGATGATAAGCTCAGCTTCGGCTGCCTCGTCGAGTACGCTTGCAAGAGAGCGTCTATGGCTGTGGGAGCATTATCTCGTATGATGTCAAACAGCTCGGCAGTGAATGCCAGTAAGCGCAGGCTCCTCGCTGGGGTCGTAGTATCTATCCTCAGATACTGGATACTGCTGTACTGGATATTGACTGCCACAGGCAGAAATTAGAGAGTACACACAGGCTAATGTGCTTAAGGGTGGCCAGTGCATACCGCACTATCTCGAGAGAGGCCGTCTGTGTCATAGCAGGGATGATGCCAATCAGCCTTATCATTAAGGAGGATGTGGCGTGTTATGACGCGAGGACCGTTCGAGGGGTGCGCAACAACGCGCGAGTTGTGTCGACCGCGAGATGGCAATCGGAGTGGGAAAACTCCACAAAGGGGAGCTGGACTTACCGCCTGATACCTTCCGTATCAAGCTGGTTCAACAGGCGCCATGGGGAAGTAAACTTCCACCTGACACAGTTTCTGTCAGGCCATGGCTGCTTTAGGAGCTACCTGCATAGGTTCGGACATGCAAGATGACGAAAACTGTACGCATTGTGACAACCTTTTTTTTTTTCCTCTGTTCGGGACCTAACACTACTGCGACCAGTAAATTGATCTATTGTAGTATATCCCGTGTTCTTAGTTTAGTGCATGTCGTATTACTCCATCACTATTGAGAAAAGATGAAGTATTCGATTTTTTTACAGTTGCCACTCTTACATTTATCGCAAGGATCCGACTCTAATTGAAAGGTCCCGCTATTTATACCCTTCGGAGTGTTGAAACACCCTCCAAAGGCGCGCCCCTTTGTCAGTCAAAATTGGATTCCTTAGCAACAAAATTAAGGTATGACACCGATACGACCAAGCATCAGAACCCTATTCTTAACCACTTCAAACTAGGGAACAATGAATAGAAGATTAGGAATCACATAGATGAAGACAACTAACAAATTTTTTCCTTGTTTCAAGATCATCCTCGGTAGACAAAGCCGAGTCTTGTCACTATCAAAAAGGCATAAAAAGTAACAAGGACTAAGATGTGTTCCTTGGATTACTGAAAAATCCTGTTCCCCTAGTTTGAAGTAGTCTGTACTAGGAATCGGTGGTAGATCTTACATCCCGTAACGTACCACGAAAAGGTGATCTACCCACGTTACGAGGCGTGACAACCTTACAGCAGAAACTCTTTCCCACGAATTTTGCGCTTGTGCTCGCGTCGGCCCGGCTTGGACGGTTCTTCAGCAGAGAATAGCAGGCATCTTGGGTGGATGGAGGCGCTGAATTGAACTTTTATCTTCATGTGGAGAATTGACGGTAAACCAAAAAAAAAATTTTTTTTTTGTATAATAAACTGTCAAATAAAACTACACTTTTACAAAAAAAGGAAAGACAATGGGCTACCTGTATGGGTGTAAGATTCACTACCGGGTAGCTGGTTGGCCGGTTTTATTTGGCGTACAAAATACAACCACTTTCTTCTTCTTCGCATTTCAAGCTAATTGCTTATCGCATATTACCTTATTGCGTGCTCTCAACTTAGTATTCTAGATGCATTTCCACAGTTATTAATTGAGAGCTTCCGAAGCTTGTACCAATTGTGTGGCAAGTACAATCACACTCTATGCCCAGGGAAGTCGAGAAATTTTCTAACCTGAAAAATTCCTAGACCGGACCGGAAATCAAACCCAGCCACCTCCAGCATGGTCTTGCTTTGTAGCTGCGCCTTTACCGGCCCCACAACCACGCATTCTGTTTAGCTGATTGAGACCGAAACAAGAGTTCTCATCGGCGAATGCTAGGACGGTTTTTAAGAGGGCCGACCAACGAAGATTCAAATGTTTACTCAGCACCTTGGTAAATTTCAGGAATACACTTCCCATCTGTTAATTGGTTTCAAAGCAGCGTGTGATTCGATGAAGAGCATTGAGCGTGATTGACGTTTCTGCTCGATGGGATGAAAATACGCACATATGTCGAAGTAGATCTTTGCCCTACTCTCCTAACTTTGAACAGCACTTATGAACCATATTTGTCATCTGATGAGGATATTAACACTGATAAACACGTCGTCAACCCGATTGAAAGTAACTATATCGTTCTCCCGCTCTTCCTTATGCCTTAGTTTGGAAAGATTTTCACGTAGTAATTCTAGTTTGTTCCAGCTCAAAAAGGCTTAAAACATCCCTTACATGATCCCTTTGGCTTTGCAAAAATTCCGTTTTTTGCTGATCAATTGAAATCACTAATATCTTTATTGCTTAAAAATATTCATGGTAACATAGCATATAAAAATCACATAATTCAGACAGACGTACATTGCGTACATTAAATTCAAAAGTATTTGTTTTTATATATAGCCTAATATAATCGTCATCTTTCATAAATCAAAATTCTGATAGCATAGTTCCACTTACCTTTGGATGTGCTCTCCTAGGAAATGCTACTTTGGGGTCGATCTGCGATAAAACAAAGGAAAGGAAATGTTCGTCAAAAATACAGTAAATTAAACAAAATTCAGTCAACCACACATGAATTCCATAGTCGCCGCCGCAGGCAAGAGGAAAACGGACATTATTACCAGCAACCGAAGTCACACTTTCCACTTCACAAGCAAATCCCCTCTCACAAAACACTGGCAAACAACCCAAGTCAAGTGCAGGACAAATAAAGCAACCGTGAAAAATGGTGTCGACGAGATTAATTGAAAACACGCGCCAGGCAATCTTCCCCTCGGCAAGGATCCCGTCTGCTAGAGTAGCGAGTACCTAGCGTCCTTCTCCCCCATTCCTAACCATGTAGGACAAATAGGCATTAGCCGATAAATGGTCCCGCTTCCGTTGCGTGCATTGTGCAGAAGAAATCCTCCGAGTCATCTGATTAGGTTGTTTCGCTCTTCTCCGTCGTCGAACTCGGCGAGGGGGACAAGGCCCATAAATCAATCGAAAAGGTACAACTTGTTTACGACAATGCAATGTCGTATGGGTAGCAAAAAAGTAAATCGTCATCGTGCATTAAAAATGCATCGAAATGCGAAGGGTGTCGACAGGCGGTCGATTTAGGCACAGCACTTGAAACGAAACCCCATGTCATCAATCGTCACACGTGTCAGACGAGATCTGACACAATCTTTTATGCTCTCTACGATACCTGCCGGTTCTGCCATTTCACACAAATAATAAAAGAGTGTAGCGTCGCAATGGCTTGGTCGTTCCAACAATGAGATGGGGTTCAAGGTGTGTGAAGGTAGAGAAATGGGACCTATTCAAAAAAAAAATGAACACAGGGCAGGACAGTTTCCAGCCGGTATGGTGTTGTGTAAGCACGATTCTTGACTCTTCAAAGGTTGCCTCATTGTTGGTCCAGAAGTGAAATTAAAATGAATAATAGAAATATATTGCCTCTCCGGAGACGATTCAGGAAGAGTTATGCTTCGGCTCCGAGATGACCGGGGTCCAGCGGTCGTTTGCCAACGTTTGTCACCATTTTCCTTCAACAAAAATTGGACATTCATTCAAAGTCATGTAGAATATTTCAATCAGTGCGAGAGGCCGCAAATTTAAAGCTTTCGATCAGGCAGTGAGTACCGAACTGTGTGGTTGTCAAACGTTCGTTATTTGTACGCTTTGCTTGAAAATTGCACGCTACTACCCATCAACTTTTCAACGTCTGTTAGTTTTTCGCAATCGTCTCTGAAAAGAAACCGTGTAACCTTTTATTTATCACGATCCATCACATACATATTTATTGTCACTACGTGAAAGCTAACAGGACGTTTGCTTAACTTCTTTCCACGATGGAGGTTTTTATTTATTTGTCGGGCAGTTGTGCCAACAAAATCCCTGGGTGACAGTGATGGCAAAATCGTGACGTAATTTAAAACAAATAAAATTTGATTATTATTCCTACGCACCCATGTGGAACGCAGTGACGTTCTCAGCAGCTGCCTAAGTCAACACTGAATAAAAGATGAATCTTGGCTGGACCAAGGGATTAACTTTTTACCGACCGGCGATTTGAAATTCATGCGTGTGTGTGTGTGTTTCTGTTTGCGTTGCTTTCATTGGGCTCAAATCTTACCTTTTTACCATCTAATTCGTGTGTACCATGTGCTAATACTTTGTCTACGCTGGCGGGGTCGCCGAATGTGATGAAGCCAAACCCTCTGAAAGTAGAACGGAAGTGGGGAGATGAGGTTAGATAAGTTGATGTAAAAAGCATTTTGTTCGGAACAAAAGCTCTGCATTGCTTTTTTTAAATTGAGGATCCCCACCAGTTGAATAAATATATTAGTAACATTCATGATACAGCGTTAATATAATGTTTACTTCTTAGACATGTTCTTGACAGCATCTTCAAACTGGTTCAAAAGACTAAACATTAAATTAACACTGAACATCGAGTACAGTAATTGAGTAAAAATCCATTATTATCGAAAAAATTGTTCCGGTATCAACAAACAGTTACTATTTGATAATTCTAACAGCTGGCCTTTTAAAACGAATTCTTCAATTTTTTTCAAGTTGCGACCGGTAAAAAGAAGTTTAAATGCCCTGAGAAGCACAAAATTTTAAGATTTTTGAGCACCGTTTTTCTCATTCTAGGTTCAAGCTTATTTTGAAGCTGAATAACCCAACAAACAATTTGTGTTGATAAAAGGGTTAAATAAGCCATCTTTTATCAGAAGAAGCATATTTTTGCCTGAATAAGCTCTTATTCTACTTCCAATGTTTTGATCAGCTTTTATCAACGATCAATTTACCAACGTTCCGTATCATGGGTTCCACTCGCGAAAAAAAATCGAAGTTCTAGAAAGTAAAAAACTACGAGGGACAGCCCTATGGGGTTGTCCGCAATGGTGACGTAGGACTACGTGGTCTTATATAATAAATCTTAGTTGTTAACTGCAGCAGGAGCTTGTGTAGGAATTGGAATTTGAGCGGGGTGCTCTCCGTTTATACTCTTTAGTATGACGCGCTTGACATAGATGACTCACAGCAACTCACGAAGAGCTACTGATTCCGATCAATAGCGGTGCGGCTTCTAACTCCTACTATGGATGCTCATGTGGGCTGAAGCTCGTTGCTTGCAGGCAACCATTCGTTGTGTACTGGAGAACAATGTTCAACACCACGCGCCGAAAGCACTGCTGCTGCTAATGCCGACGATCAGACACCACCACACACGGTGATTGGAACTGAATCCGATCAGCGGTTGAGGTCAGCCTTGAAAAGCACCGTTTAGTGAGACCGAATGGAATTCAACTTTAAAATCTGTGTTAGGGAAATCGCTTTTCACAGGCAATTGGTGATAATTTTAATTATCATAATTTTTCAATATTTGTTAAAAAATTTTGAAAGACGATAAAGTTTAAAATTTAACAGATGTGTAGAAATATTTCTGATCTGTTGGTGATAAAATATTTGAAATTGATCCAAGGGCAGCTGAGTTATTAACGATCAAAATCTTTCATAATTTTGTTACATGTTCCATCTTTGGTTTTCACAAAGTGTACCCCCATATAGAAATCACAGACGTAGTCCTACGTCAAAAATAATCTTGGATTGCACAGCTTTTGTCCGGAAAATTCATCTCACTTTTGAGTAAATCCACTTTTGATGAAATTAAGTCAACTCGACTTTATTTTGAGACTGATGTTTAAAAAAGAGTTGCTGCCGATGAAAACGTTTATTTTTCGCAACCCATGCAGGCTAATGGCAGTTCTTGAGCAAATGCACCTTCTGAAAAATAAATGTAAATTTCTGCGATATACAGCGCACACGCTATTATTTTCCACGACATTTGATGTAAATTTAAGTGAATATCGCATTAATCTACCATATTGTATACAAGCTTGTAAGCAATTTCAATGTTTTTGCCAACTGTAGCTCAATATTAAACAAGAGGAGATTTAACGTGACTGTTAAAATTCAGATTTTTTTTTCTGACTACTAAAAACTTAATATGTTTGCAAATTTTCAGCTGCATTCATACTGCCGACAACGCGCTTTGGAACCGCTCCATACAAAGCTGGACAAAAATATAAGGATGGTTGAAATATCATCCGGTGGTGGGGTGCTTAATCCGATTTTTGCATCATAAACACCCTAACCTATGGATACAACTGACTAGGGTGGTTCCAAAAATTATTATCTGTGAAAAAATGCTTCTTTATCCGGTTTATCTTATTATTTACTTCTAATATTTGTTTAAACGAAATATTGTTTAAACAAGTTATTTAAGGTACCTAAACTATACATTTGGTTCACCTTTTACGTAGAGAAATTTCCCTTTATTTAGTTGAATAAATTTACATTTTGACTTTGACGGTTTTAATAGTTTACTGACGATTGTAAAAACATGATGAAGTGAGAGTTTTTTTTTTCAAATCAGGGTGGTATTTAAATTAATTTTGATACCCAGAGTGGTTCTCGAATATAACATTTTCGTTGCACTTTGATAAAAAGACTGAAATCTATTTTCGTTCATTTTATTATTTAATCACTGTCATCATCTTCCATCTTCTGGTAAATCGTGCTTTCGTTCCGTTTTCTTTCAATACCCTGAAATTATGGAATCAAACGAAACTAGTAAGTCGTTAAATACATTTTCCAAATGTGCCACCCGGGAACACTTACGGGCATGATCCTTTCTCAACCGGCGTATCTCCTTATTCATGTGTTCCTGTGCTTTTTTCAGACAATCGGAAGCATAGGTTTATCGATGATTTCATGCCCAGAACTTTATCCAGTTTTGTTGGCAATCGGTACCATCCAGAGTTGCGACCTATCACAATCACGATCGTCAAACAGCTGATGGTAGAAACGCTTGGTACATTCCTATCAATGTGCTTGTCGAAGCACTCTCCATGGCCATCCATCAAGTTGACGAAAGAAGTAAAAAGCAACTGGTGAATGTCGTCTTCTGTTGTGATCTATCACCGATCTGGTCATTCCCGACAATCACAACATTCATTTGTGCTTGTTTTGAAGCAGTTGCTGCTTTGCTTGCTTATGTGAGTGTGTTGGTGAGTGTGCCCAACAGCTTCCGTTTAATGTTGCCTACTTTGTTTGGAACTCACACAGTCGCGCCTGCCGAGACGAACTTGGAATGCGTAGGCATTGTTTTCATTTTCGTCTGTCGTTTCGCTTTTTCTCATGATCGTATTGCAGAAGTCTTCACTGTTTTCGTTGTGTGCTTTTCATCATCAGCAGCGAGTGTAACGTTTTGCTTGTGAGCAGCGACCATTACTGGTGATTGTTGTTTGCCATGGCTCCACCTCTCACTGCTTGACAAAACTTTTTGTCAGCGAAAGTCGGTTCATGCGTAGACGAGTGTCAAGTGAGTGTCATGATAACTGTGCTGTTTCGTAGGCAAAGCTTTCGAATTTGTTCTTGTCGATTTCTTCACAGGATGAGATGGAAATTAATGCTGTTTGCAACCGTTTTACCAATTCTTCGTCGATACCTGTAATAGCTGCGGAAATATCAGCGCTCGCAAAAAACCTACGAGCAGTGTTGCCATCATTGCTGTTTCCACAACTCTCTTGTCAAGAAACTCTTGCTGAATGCGCAACTTTGTTGCTGTGAATTCAGCCTCATGTCCGGATGGGATTCCATCGCTTGTCCTCAAATACTACGCGGATACACTTGCAACACCATTAGCAAGAGTATTCAACCTATCTTTGGCTACTGGTGTATTCCCAAACTGCTGGAAGCAGTCGTATGTTTTCCCAGTTTTCTAGAAAGGCTGCAAGCGGATTGATTCGAACTATCGGGGCACATCTAAGCTGTTTGAGGTAATCGTTCTGCATAAGCTGGTTCAAAACTACGCACACTACATTTCGGTTGATCAGCACATATTTATGCCTAACCGTTCGACGACAACTAATTTGACTTCGTTCGTGATCCGCCAAATATAAAATGGTCAACAAGTAGACGCTTTTTACACAGACTTATCCGTGGCGTTTGATAAAATGAATCATCAAATCGCAGTGGCTAAATTCGACAAGCTGGGAATGAACAGTAACTTGCTTTCCTGGCTTCGATCCTACCTAACCGGTCGAAGTATGTCCGTAAAATTGGAGACCACGTTTCGCCCTCCTTTCCGGTTTGGTCCGGTGTTCCCCAAGGAAGTCACTTGGGGCCGTTTCTATTCTTGCTGTATCTAGAAATGCCTAAAACTCTCGTATGCCGATAACCTGAAGCTTTACTACATGATTAAGCAACCACAAGACGCGTTTTTTCTGCTACAACAACTGGAAGCCTTCGCTGAATGGTGCCATATTAATCGCATGTCGCTGAACGTGTCCAAATGTTCGGTTATTTCATTTGGCCGCAAGCAATCACTCTTCCATTTTAGCTATGCTTTGGGAGGCGTGAATCTACAACGTGATTCGACAGTCAAGGATCTGGGGATTCTGGTTGATACAAAATTAACCTTCAAGGATCACGTCGCGTACGTTGCGTCTAAAGCCTCATCGCAACTAGGATTTTTATTGCGCTTTGCAAATAAAAGTTCAAGGACGTTTACTGCCTAAAAGCTTTATACTGCTCAATTGTGCGCCCTATCTTGAAGTATTCGTATATCATCTGGTCTCCTTATTACCAGAATGAAATTCAACGCATCGAAGCTGTTCAGCTGTTCAGCTGTTCAGCTCTACGTCATCTTAGGTGGAGAGATCCATTCAACCTGCCCAGTTATGAAAGCCGTTGTCTACTTATAAATCTGGAATTACTAGAAGCAAGACGCAACGTGGCAAAAACGTGCTTTGTTGGGGATCTTTTGCAAGGCAACATTGACAGTCCTACGCTTCTTAGTCTCTTGTACATCAACACACGTCGTCGCAATCTTCGGTCGCACTCGTTTATCACCATCCCTCCGGCAAGGACTAATTATGGCTTACACGAACCTTTGCGAAGCATGTCCCGTGTATTCAACCGGTGTTATTATGTGTACGATTTCAACGTGTCACGAGAAACAAATAAGCGTAGTTTTAAACGAGTTTTATGTTAATTTATGTTATTCGTTAGTTTTGTATTTAGTTGTAGAACAAGTGTCATTGGGGTAAACATTTTACCTGTTGACTAATAAACAATAAAGACAATAAAGATAAACCAATGCCCCTCATGCCTATATGCAATATGTAGCATGCATTCAAACGTT